CGTGCGTGCGTGCGTGCGTGCAAACCTTGGCTCTGCCAGCTTCATTCCTGATGTTGCTGCAATGCTATAAGTCCTCCTGAAGCCATAACCCGAACCCAGCGACTGCTAACGTAAGGGAATGAAGCAGGCTCGAAAGCGTATAGCCCAATGCTCTTTGGCAGGGTGCAATCTAAAAAGGCTGAACCCTCTTCTGCGCCTGCAGCCCGATCAGCCCCAGGTTTGCCGTTATATGGTGGATGAACCTTGCCTGAGCTTTGAGAAGGTAAGCTGCCAGGTTCCAGATTCCGCACCGGCTGTTTGGAACCGCGCGAGCAGTGACTCAGCCTAACCCGGGCCTAACCCGGCTTGTCACGCCAAATAAGCCATTGCTTTTTCGTGTGGACATAGAGACATTACACTGCACCTTGAAGCTGTTGTTCGTTCCTGCTGGGAGACTGGGTTACCTGCAACTTCCTCAGAAATTTATTGGCCATGTGCATTACTTAGGAGTTTGCTTGGTTCACTCAGGTGCAACGCATGGCGCTGGGATACGCGCAACTCAAACATCGTCTCGGAAGTGAGGTTGGGTATAAGTGATCAGGCTTGAGGGTTGAGGATTTGATCCGACTTTCAAACAAGCCTTGTTGCAAACTATCTGAAGGTTTGGTCGCGGGGCTGGCTCGGGCTTCAGCCCAAGGGCTTCTAAGGTACGAGCTCGGGATTTTAGGCTTGGGCTTTTGTTTTTGGCTGGTTTCAGAAGACGCAAGTGGCTCCTTCATCTTCTGCCAGGGGGCCGCAGGTGGCTTGAAGTGGAAGCGCAGGTCGAGGCCGTCCCTGGCAAACAGCTGAACGGCTTGAGATCGCGACTACAGTGGCTGGCCTTCAAGCAAGCTTGCCGAATCGGTGCCCTGTAGTCCTTTTAAGGTAATGATCGATGGATTCCTGTTTCTGCTGCTACCTTTTTCAAGCCATGTCAGCCGTGGGCCCACACCCCTCTACCAAGAAAACTCAAATCTTAAATCTGCGAGGTGCAGCACCACGGCCAGGAGGGGGTCGGAGCAGGACCTGGGAAGTTTACCGTGCCGGGCGATACCAAAATAGGGCTGGGCAGGGGTTTGGGGGTGGTGGGTGTGGATATGGATGTGGGTGCGGGTGTGGGTGCGGACGTGGTCAATATATTATGAGTCAAGCTTCGACTCCCAAACATGGTCGAGTGAGCTGCCGTAGCATGTTGCGCGCTGGCTAGCATGCTAACATTGCGTTGTGTTTCGGCGGTGCTGCCTGATTAGGCATTGCGGAGGTAAGTCTATATTGAGGGTGTTGCCCCGAGCTTTGCCAACGTTGGGTCTGTTTGGGGCTAGGGCATTTCCATGTTTCCATGATACGAGTGATATGCACTGGCGCAACCTCAACATACGGTCAGATCCCTACGACCCCGTTAACACAATCGTCTTAGGCGGACCTAGACACAGCAGTGAGACACAGCACGCTATTCTGCACAGTTCCACTCGCTTCGCAAACAGTCCTGGCCTCTCGGTGCCGTGCATTGTCACCATCTGCATGTCGGCGCGAATGTAGCCTTATGGCTCACCAGACTTTGGCACGTGGAAAGCACCTGCTCAATGATCCTGTCCTGTTGAAATCTGTCTATACACACACCAATGAATGGCAATAAGCTTACCAGCCCCACCACCAAACCTCGTGCTCTCTCTCTCCGTTTCAAAGTGCCAAGCTTCCGAGGATGAACTCGCGTACAGCTTCCCTGTTGGAGCTGTCGTCATGCAGCAGAAAACGAACCTCACTGGGAGAATTCCGAGCGATTAAATCTCAGAATGTTCTGATTCATGGCAGCCAGAAGAAACAATCACACCTGTGGGTGATGCTGAATCCGTATACCTACGAAAGTACCGTCGACGCCCTCCACGCATCGAATTGAAGAAACTGCATCTCACTCACTGCGACCGCTCTCACGGCCGAAGCACTTGGCTTTGATTTGGCAGTTGAATGAAGCAAGCGTCGGCACCATTTCATCTGCACGACAAGTAAGTATTCAAAAGCTGCGCGCTTGGAGGCATCAATTTCGCCGAGTGACTGAAACGGTGTTACGTCCAGGTTTGAGGGTGACCTCCATCACACCAGGGACTTTGTCTGAGTGGTGTGTACCACTTGCAAAACACGGACTGTCAGTTGCCGTTACAGCATGAATCAGGGTCCATGTGCGAGCACAATGGCTACAGTGATTCTGACGACCGTTGTTTCCACCTGCTCGTCTTAGCATCACTGCCACCCGGAGTACTAGTACTGTTGTTAGTAAAATTGCTATAAAGCAGTTATGTCTGTAGTTGTCAAATACAATATGCCCTGACAACTGCAAAAGATGGCAGAACTGCTGTTCCCATGATTCGTCGAAAAGGAATGCAAAGAATGAGGTAGTTGCCGAAGAAGGTTGACTCCAGGTTGACTGAGCCTCCGGGTTCCAGGTGCCAGAGTATGGGTGAATGGACCTGCTCAGATTGTCTAAGCCTGATAACACAAGCCAACCTCCCCCAAAACCCTGAATTGCCGTCTTGTGGCCTCCAGCACTTCGAGAATCAATCAATCTCGGGCCGCACCCGACTGCGACCATCCGAACAGGGCCAACATCAACGACTCGCATCTGAATCGCTAAAATTCTTAACTCTGCAGTTGTGTGGCTTAGGCGGACCGTGGCTGAGCAAACGGCCTCTTGGACCACAGCAGTCCCAAAGGGATGCCCCCGCTGGGTGATGTTGAAGTGAGTAGGTGTGTCCTTCACAACTGGTCTTTGGGCTCAATCTCGTGCAGGATTGGCGACTGGTCGGAGTCTGATTTTTGCTTTTGCCCTGCATCAAGTTCCCGCCCCAGCGATATAGAAGAAGCCGGGAGTTTGCTCTTGGGTGTACATACTTCTCGACGCCACATCACAAGAAATCCATGCGACGCCAACAACAGCTAAGCGCCTGCTCCCGGATCCAGGCAGTCTATCAAAGTCCAAAACTCACTCTCTTTAAGTTCCCGCACAGTGACAAGATGTGCAGAAAGGTAAGAAGGATTGTAGATGTTGATCGCCACGGTGGTGTCAAGATGGTCGGGGTAGCCATACGCACTCGTGATCGCCTCTTGTTGCAAGCTGACAGCGCTTCTTGAACCCCACAGTGCTCTGCATTGCCTGAAAGCCTTTCGCGCCCCCAGCTCTGGTTGGAAACCTAACATAACTTGACCACGTTGGGGGCTGAATGATAAGCCCCCAAGCCAATTCAACCATGTACAACCATCGTCCGTCCTGCTGGTTGAATGCAAGTTTCCTGTAAGCTCTATGTAGCTTCAGCAGATCGGGTACAGTTTCTACAATCATGTGTAGACTTGGTCTCGTGACTCGAACGATGCAGGCGAGGCTTGTCCAGGTTTGAAGGCGAGTGCGTGTGGCCCAAAGGTCGGTAGTCAATGCACTCGCACATCTACAGTTAGGGTGGCTGGCTGCGGCAGTCTATGACAGCCATGCTCGGTCGGTGCAATGACTGTGGATGGACGTGCCCACTGGATGCTGGCAGAATGCACCATGCACCATCAAACCACAACGATGCATTCCTGCGTTGCGAAGGGAAGTTTGAGAAGTGTAGGGAAAGCTGTCCGGCTCATGAGGCTCTCCCAGACAACCCTCCCCAGCAGCACCTCCATGGTAACAGGATTCGCATCCTGGGAGAAGCTCGCCATACCTGCTGCTTGGGAAAGGGACACTCTTCTGGTGCTCTGTCCGGGCTGTACCACCCAAACATAAGCACGAGTAGGCTTAACGCTGAGGCCGACAAGGTCGCCGCGGTGACGTTTCCGAAAAGGATTTGCAAGACAACTATGCTGAGCCGTCAGACCCTCAAATCCCTCAACTCCCTGCATATCCCTGCACCTTCGGCCAGGTACCTTTCAGAGCCACCTGCCGCTCGAAGGGTATGTCTGAGAGGTGCGCCGCAAAGAACGGTAGTTCACAGCGGACCTGAAAACTCCGAAAGGCGGGAGAGTCTTGGCTGTTCTGGCTCTTGGTCGGCTTGCGCAGTTCGGGTCGAGTCCAAAGACGGCTTGATCTCAGCCGCTGGATTTCGACTTAGACAGTAAGATGTGCGTTACGAGACCCCTCAAGACGCTACTTACCTTACCTGGCAAGCACCAAGCTAGCTGATCGCGTTATCTTCAATGCTAGCTAGGCCCTTCTGCTCAAAGCACCCCAAGCCGAAAACAAAGGGAACAAGACAAGAACGATGCGGATAGTAGTTGTTGCAGTTGTCTTCAAAACTCCCGCTTTCCATGCATCTCTGAGCATACATACATACATAAATACATACATACTTACATACATACATGCAGATATGCAGTTGTTTAGCACTCGCGCTCGACGGAGTCAGGCGAGGACTGCAGGCTTCAAGACTAGACTCCGGATTCCTTTCGAACCCATAGCAGCAAACTTTCAGGCAAGGTCAGCCCAGTGTTACTGTCACAGAAACTGAGCGAATTCGACCCGACGTATGTACTTTTGGAGACATGCATACACACGTACATACATACCTGCATGCATATATATATATATATATACCGTTATGAACACACATACATATGCATGCATACATCTGTGTGTGTATATGTATATGCGTGTGTGTGTGTGTGCCTGTGTCTGTGCATGTTTATGCATGCTTATATGCCTATGTATAACGACACATATGCATAGTCACGTCTCTAGCAGCTCTAGCAGGGAGGATGATACATGTGATCTCTTCGTTGTCTCTAGACTCTGGACACTACATCCGGAAACGAGATTACAGACCTCTCTGGCAAAAAGCCTTCGAGCAAAGGGAGCGTGCCTGAAGCTTTCCTTCCACCACCCAGGAGGAATCCGGCTCTCTCACCGCATGCTTGCCTGCTTATGCACAACAAGTACTGATCACGCCGCCCCTACATGGTACATTGAATTCAGCCTCGTTTTATCCAAGGACGCCCTCAGCCCCTGGCAAAAGCATAGTCTGTCCGATGCGAAAACTAAACACATCTGGCCACGTGTCCTATGTCCATGTCAAAGCCGTATACTTTGAAAGCCTGTGACAAATCCAAAAGCTTCCGGGTTGCAAGCTCCTGGCAGGTTCTAGCCACGATAACTACCTGGTATCCAACTTGCAACGTACAAGGTAGGACTATGTCATTACTGTGTACGGTGTGTACTCCAACAAGGCTTTGCTGCTCGCTTGCCTGCGAGGCCGAAGACGTCCAGGTCCTCGATGTGAACATGGGCCGAGATGTTGATTTGCAGATCTTGGAAAGCCTGGAAGGCAAACACGCAAGCCCACAGCTTCCGGAAGCCAAGCCGTGAGCTACAAAATCAACACCCCTGGCCTGCCATGGCCCAACCAAACTCTGCGGGCCCATAAGAATGTAAACCCAAAGCGGATCTCCAACCCATGGCCTGGACCCTCAGAGAAGGCATGGTCACTGTGCCCACGCGCGCCAAAGTCCCGGATGGGAAAATAGGAACTTTGAGCACCAACCGGGACATCCTGCGCGTCGACCGACGGTGAGGGACAATTGTGAGGCTTGCGGCTTGCGACTTTTTGCAGCCGTCTTGACTCCTCATGCGTCTTGAGGGACTGCTCCTCAGAAAAGAAGGTCCATTAGTTTGAGCAAGGCACGAACAAAACCCGAATCATGCAAGCGCTAGACCTATTACCATCATTCCACCACGACATCCCAAGCCGCTCACAGCAAACATGCTGTTGACTCCCCAAACAAACCAATCCACCGTCTGCCTGCGAACCTGGCCGGCATCATACCACGATCACCACAACCAACAATGCTACTGCTACCACTTTCGAAAGCTCTTAAGCCTCAGTCCTGACATCGGCATTCACTGGACTGGGGTTGGACACCGATGCGAGGATGCGCGGGCTCAAAGTCTGAGAGTTTCGGATCGTTCCCACATCAACGGACTCGAACCTGGACGGTTTGCAAGGCGCAGTCTTCTGACCCATGGACCCATCCCAACCCTGATCTGCAAACACGACAAACCGGCAGTGCTCTATGCGACAACCTCGTCCAAAGTTGCACCGGGGAACTGGATGTGGGCCGCGGCGATACCTGCAGTGTGTGTGTTTGTGTGTGCACAAACCCGTGCATGCCCAATCGCGCCCGCACGCGCAAACAGGGTGCCGGATCAAAAAAAGAATCAGCAGCAAGTCTAGGGAACATTCAACATCATTCAACTGCCGCTCGCATACAGACAGGACGATGTGGAAACGATTTGAGGTCCTGCCTATGCTCGCCAGGCGCGCTACCAGCGCCTCGTGGAAGACGGCACCCGCAACCAGAGCGCAAAGTGACAGGAGGACGCAAACCTCACGCAACAGCTTTGCAAGAAGGCTCCCAAGGCTTGGCAGCAATATGCAAATCTACACAATACATCACGTGCACAGCCCTTGGACGACAAGCTGTGCCGTCACGCCCTTGAACCAAAACTGCACTCATCGTGTTCTGAAAGCCCTCCACACTAGAGCCCAGTCTTTTTCAAAAAGCAGGCCTTGCAGCACAGCCCGCAGCAGCAGCCATGGTCAGACCTCCTGTGCAGCTGGGTGGGGATGTGGCACATCTGCTGTTAAAGCGGTCACGTTCGGCTTATGCCTTACTCACCGGGTTTGCGGCGGAGGCCGTTGCAATGGGATGTTGCTGATAGCCGTGAGCACTGGAATGAGCCTTGAACCTCTAAGCTTGCTATTTTCAGTGGGACTGAGTACGTTGCTGTTTAAGTTTAGACCAGCGTTTCCATGTCTTCAACACCACCGCATACGATGAAATTTGAAAAGCCTCAGAACCCTAAGCCCTAAGCCAAAGCGGGAGAACCCCAGGCCTCCCGGTCTCGCCCACGAGGGCGCGGCACTCCGTCTCCGAATCGCTGTCCAGGTCCGAGGTGAGGCTTTCATCCATGCTCCGAGTCACCGTGTTTGGGTTTGAAATCCAAGGCCTTTGAGCTGCAATACGAATTCGAAAAGATAGAAGCGCACCACTTCTGCACAGGTATGTGAAGAGTTTCCCATCTAACTGAATCTATGCGCTTGCTTCTGCTCGTTCCTGTTTACTGTCGAGTCGCTAGGTAAGCTGATTTGGTTCCTACACGTAAGGTGCATGTTGGTGGCAACAGCTATTCGAATGACGGCATGCCACCATGCCAAGCCATGCTACAATTGACCTGCCAAAAACAGGCCGCAAGGTGGCACTTGCACGGCTCTTTCCACCATCGAAGAAACTACACCCCTGCTGTCCGTAACCGAAAACTGCCGAAAACTGCTTCATGACATCCCGGCTTTCTTGCAGCGGGCCCTTTTCAAGCGCCGGCAACCCCACACGGCACACGCAAAAGCGATCCTTCTCCTGCAGCAGCAAGCCTCGGCAAGTGTGCGACTTGCGAGTTGCAGGAAAGAACAACAGCAACGACCACGATCCTTCTGCGTCCCCAGGAAACCCCAGACTCCGAGGTCAGTGACGCTGCTGACAAGCCTTCCTGGTGTCCGTGGGACTGACCACAAAAAAAATCTTGACCCCAACATCTGCACCAAAAAATCGGAGAGGACGGTCTCCCGTCCATTGTCGCGAGGAGCTGCGCCCATCACTACGCCACCGAAGCTTCCCGGCCACCATCCTTCGTGTGAGGATTCAAGTAATGGTTCGAACTGTACGGGGCGAGGCAGACGACAGGTCAGCAGCAATCTTCCCATGAGACTCCAGCAGACAAATAGCACATCGGCAGTTCATCTGCTTGATCCACTTGTTTCAGCAGACTCTCACAGGAAGGATTACTTGTCCAACATAGCACTTCTGGATTCGGTTCCCAACCTACGACTCGCACAGCGCACAAAAAGCAGGAAGGTTCAGGAGCTCAGGTAACGCAGCACCGCGGAGTTGCAGTCTTGTGATGGTCTTTCGCCACGTCATGGCAGACCGAAAGCTAATCACCCCAATCCTGTGGTAAATGCAGTGTAAATTCTCGCAACATCGGCGCAATGCATTGGCCCCCAGACCCTCCGAATCAAAAAAAACGTGGGCCACTGCCCGGCCGGCCAAAACACGGTGCCGCTGTCAGTGTCGTGGCACGCGGAGTCCAAAGGAGGAGGGAAGCATCTGTGGTGCCTCAGTTTTTTGACATGCCCCTTGCCTCGCAGTGGACTGGTCCTATAGTCCTATAGGGCATCGAGTTCGCATTTGGAACCCCATCTGCCGCTTGACCTGTCTGGCCCGGACGGACATTACATAGATTTACAGAGCCAGCCACACCTGAATCCGTAACGACATCAGTTCCCTACGCCGTTTTCCCAGCCAGGGCACTTCCCGCCAGCCGGTTCCGCGCGCCGCGGGCAGTGGGGTCCCAAGCCAATGCCACGACCGTGTTACGTTGCCTCTGCGGAATTCGTATAGGAGTTTATAGAGGACAGACTGAGGACCCACCAGCTCTAGTGAAAGTGTCCTCCAGCAGAATGGATTCTGCTGGGTCTTGAACTGAGTCTAGGCGAACTTTTTTGCATCGGGCTTGTGTGGTCAGGGGACACCCTCTCTGCAAGACTTGTGCGAGAGTAAGTGAGTCAGTCAGTCAGAGTCAGTCAGTCTGTCAGAAAATCAGTCAGTTAGTTAGTGTTGTATTACGGCTTGCTGAGGTTGCGACTGTTGCTACGTGCCCTTCTGGCTGTGATTAGCCGCATTATCGCTGTCTTGTCATTGACATAGCGGATACTACTCAGCTCAATGTCCGGAAGTGCAGCGCCTGTCAAGCATGTGATTCGGGCTTGAGCACAGTCGACAACCAGAGAAATCTGTAGGAATGTCTAGGCTTCAGCATCGGAGCTCCTGTCGAGGTTCATGCAGCATCGGAGCGTACGAACAAAAGGACCCCCACAACGAAAAACTTATTTCTCCGATAAGCCAGGGAAATGAAAGGTTGAACTTTCAGATTACTGCTGAGTTATAAGAGGGAACCAGACCATGATCTTGCATGAGAATAAAACCTCCGAGGACATATAGGGCTCTGGGCAACGTAAACCTGCAAAAAAGACAGCAGCCCAGCCTCAGCACCGAGTGTAGTACGAGTCGCCCAAGATCCCAAATCCAGATCGCACCTAACCAGGCTCTAGCTGTTGGGCCACATTTATTCCCCCAAACTCTAGTCTGGGCGGCCCTCTGTTCACACGAAAGGTAACAGCTGTAAGAGCTCAACTAACAGTGGCAGCCCCGTGCATCGCCCAGCGTGGAAGCTCATGGACAAGAAGCACACGCTTGAAGACCGCAAGAGCCTCTGTCCGAATGCTGATTTCGGCTCATCATCTTTGTGACAGGTCTGGACCTGAACTGAAACGGTTTTTCTGCGGCCCATGGCACAAGGGAAAGACTCGTGCTTCGTGGCCAAGAAATGCTCATCCGGGCTCCAAGCGGCCAGTGTGATCCCTTGCCTGGCAGCTGCTCTGAATAACAAGCCTTCATTTGCTGATGTGAACGTATTCCTACATGAATATGTGACTGCCTGTTTGCGGGCTCCGATACGAGAGAAAGTGATATAACACGTGAGCCCAGCCTGGAGTTTTTTGAGTAACACAACACATAACGCCATCAGGCCTCGTACTCCCGACATCCTGTCATGTGGCCTGAACAACTGAACCCCGATTCCGCTGCTCCGCCTTTCTGGTGCATCCAAGCATCTTCGGGATGCCCTCGGCATCCAAAGCCTCAGGCACCGGCTTCTCCTCCAAGAAGCTTGCAGAGTCCTGCCGAGTGGGGAAACGTTGGATTTCAAGCTGCGAGCACGTTGCGCTGGTGAGACCAAATGCTGCGGCAGGAGGCCTTTTTTCCGAAAAATTGGCTTGCCTGCACACGTGCACACAGCTGGTGCCTGGTGCCTCAGTTCCCTCTAGGAAAGCTTGGACTCTACGCTGCACTCTTGCGGCTGCTGCCACCTGCTCCGGCCAAAGCAAAGATGGTGCAAACCAGGAACACCCAGATGATAAGGGTTGCGGTCTCGCCGTGGATCGTGCCGATGCCCAGGTCCCAGTACCAGTGAATGCCCACGCTTGGAGGCTCGCCCGCGAGAGCTGGCAAGGGAGCTGCTGACAACGCTGCTGCTGCAGCGACCGGGACCGCCTGCTTGGGGGTCGGTGCCTCGACCTGGAGGAAAGCCGTGTTCCACACGAAGAGCGCCGCTAAGAGGCCGAAGGTCAGCAGCTGGGGCGCTCGGCGAGCCATGCTGTCTTGCACGGGTTTCGTAGCCTGGGCTTCCTGTAAGACACGGCTACAAGGAGTTGAGTATGTTCACAGCCAAGCACGGAGATGCATGTGTTCGGAACATCCTAGAGCAGTTCGGTCGCCCGTGCAAAACAAAGACTACATGCGTCAAATGCGCGCTGGACGCCCTGTCTGTGACAAAAACCATCATCCGACCATCGAGGTGCCTTCAGTCAGCTCCACCTAAGCAGCTTCTACATCTTACAGCATACAGACCCCTGCACGTGCCGCACCTTTTTTTGCACACTGGACCGCCTGGCCTGACGTGTTGCAATCTGCATCTCTACGCTGCACTCTTGCGGCTGCTGCCACCTGCTCCGGCCAAAGCAAAGATGGTGCAAACCAGGAACACCCAGATGATAAGGGTTGCGGTCTCGCCGTGGATCGTGCCGATGCCCAGGTCCCAGTACCAGTGAATGCCCACGCTTGGAGGCTCGCCCGCGAGAGCTGGCAAGGGAGCTGCTGACAACGCTGCTGCTGCAGCGACCGGGACCGCCTGCTTGGGGGTCGGTGCCTCGACCTGGAGGAAAGCCGTGTTCCACACGAAGAGCGCCGCTAAGAGGCCGAAGGTCAGCAGCTGGGGCGCTCGGCGAGCCATGCTGTCTCGCAAGGGTCACGATCTGCCTGAAAAACGAGCTGTAAAAGCTGCAGGCGTGTCAGGCCCATGCTCAAGGCTTCCCAAAGGATGCACCGAGGACAGCCGTCAAGAAACCAAGCTGCCTGTAAAACAAGCGTGAAATTGCAGGAAGGCAAGACCGCCACACACACACACACACACACACATTCGGGCTCAAGCCGACAACACCCCTTGCCCGCTTCGACAGGCCTGCATCCTGTTGTAGCCTCGCTTTGCATCTGGACTGCCGTCGGCCAGTTCGACATATTCCTCCCACAGGAATACCTGGAGCGTTTTGAAGAGACTTATCTATAGGCAGCCATGCACTGATCCATCCGCCCAACTGTCGCTCGATCCATGTTTCTACATGTCCATACCTGACCAATTCATCGAAGTGCGTGTACGAGTACTACCCAATTGCGACCTATCTGCGCCACAACCGTTTACACTCGCTAGGACTGTAAGTTCTTCAGGGCCCGTACTGCCCGCTTTCCAACAGCGGCCCTGTTCAGAAAACCAAAAACAGGGTCGTGATTGGAGCACCCTTGACGATCCGCTCCGTAAGACCCAGCCCCTGCTCAGCCGATGGTTGCGGCACATGACAGTGCATGTGTCTGATGCATCCGTAATCGCAATCTGAGCTGGTCATCTGAGCTCTGAACGTCGATGTCAGATACCCACATGCAAGGACTGCAAGGATACAGGGGGGTCGAACTTACGATAAGGATCACGGCACAAACAGTTGCTGACCCTAGACCTGACCTGGGGTGAAACCGTGCGTAATGCGCGGTCTTGCTGTCCTGTCCTTTGCCGTGCTGTCCCTGTGCGGCCACATGAATCCTGCAACTGTCCTGGGTCCGGTCATATTTGAGGTGGGCTGTCCCAAACAGAATTTGTAGGTCTTTGGGCCGGTTTGTTGGCTGTGTCTGTGTGTCTGTGTGTCTGTGCATCTGTGTGTCTGTGTGTCTGTATGTCTGTGTGTCTGTGTGTCTGTGTGTCTGTGTGTCTGTGTGTCTGTGTGTCTGTGTGTCTGTGTGTCTGTGTGTCTGTCTGTGTGTGCGTGTGTGTCTGTGTGTGTGTGTGATAATATGTGCGTATATGTGCGTATATGTGCGTCCGGACACACACACACACACACTCACTCACTCCGCAAAAACAAGCGACAGACGGAGGCAGCATGTGGTATTGTAGTTGGTAGTCCGTTGTGTGAACGCTTTCTGTCTGACTTCTGTGTCCCCTGATAAAACCTAAACTGTGCAGACAAATGAAACCGTGCCTACCAAAACCTGAGCTTGAAACTGTTGCATGTAAGGTAAGTTTGTACCTAATCGTTAATGTGTGTACCAAACCATGTGCCAAGATACCTCGCCATCGTCACGCTGCATGATTGCCTCCACCTCACAACAAGTGGCACTGGAGAGCTTGCAGTCTCACACTCGCGATGAAAGCGTGCGAAGCGTCCGAACTTCGAGAACTGAAAAACATGTTTGGCTTGTGCGTCCGGAAGAAGAGTAGACAAGGCTTGGGCTTCTTCTGAAAGGCTACAGCTGCAATAGACGGCAAGGCTTTAAGCAATGTCATGTGCTGCTACCTTTGAGCGCACTTGTGACAAGATACGACCATATGCAGAAAAGGCCCCGAGACCAGACAGAACAGTAGCATAGTTTGGCATATACATTCAAAATTCAAAAAGGTGACATTGGCTCAAACGCCACAAACTACCAGCGCCCGCATGGCACCATGGACAAACTCCTTCTTCCGCGATCCAATGTGTCTGCGACTGCGGGTGCCGGCTCCGGGGGAGTCGGATGAATAATGTGACACGGAGAGAGGACAAACTTACAACAGAGTCCTGGCCGAAGAAACATCCTCTGAAACACAAACAACCCGTGAAACGCCATGCGAAACCTCACGGCACCGTCACATCTAAGCCCGGGCGGCAAGGCTGTGGGGCAGGTTGGTGAGGATGTGTCGGCTGACGGCACTTAACCTCGTGCGAGAGTCATAGTTCAGGAACCCTGTCAAGCGCATGCGGAGCAGTAATTCAAAGCCGCACTGTGATAAGGGCCTTGTCAAACTCCTGTCCCGACATTTTGAATGCGCAGCAATTCAAAGCCCGTAACACTTCAAGGACCCTCGAACCTGAGCCGCCGTCACTGCTTCCACATCCAGCTTCGGCAAGACATAAAAAAACAAATGGAATCGTTAGGTCCCACTTGAAATCCACAGTTGCGCAGCTATGCCTGTGGTAACTGGGCCCTCGTATTTGTATTTGCTAATTACTTTGCACACACATGTGCTCCGGGTTTGCGAGAGGGCGGTGGCGGGTCGGGCTTGTTCGGATGCTCACATACTCAACTATGCTTTTGCACTTCTGTCCATTTGTGTGTGTGTGTGTCCTCACCCCTCGTGACCCAGGTTGTTTTTCGACCTGCGGATCCTTGTCAGCTGTCATCCCGAAGATATGGGTGCCCTTGTCTTGTCTTACCTTCCGTGCTCATGCCTTGCAGTGTTGCTATGCTTGTTGCTGTTTACCTTCCATGTTATGCTTTCCCCGCATCATCGGGAAGTGTTTTGCCGCGCAGGTGTTTTCTACAATTTGGATGGAAAGGATGTGAGGTTTTCGTGAAGTCCTCGCTGCACGCCCTAGAATGGCGCGGCGCGTGGTGCCGGAAGGATTCGAGCTCGGATCTGACATGATGCACGTGCGGTGCCGCCATTGTTCGAGCTTGGCAACCTCGTCGTCGGGAAACCGCGATTCATTGTAAATTCCACTGCATTGGTTTCATGTTGGCCTCAACATGACAACACCCATCGGTGATGCGGGCGTGTCCGGGCGCTGCGTGTGCAGTGCCGTGTTCATTGCAGCCTCGGAATCCCGCGGTACATGCCATCAAGCATCTTTGAATCTCGCCGGTTCATGGGGGGTCATGGTAGTTATACAAGGAGGTTGAAGGGGTAAAAGAAGAGTTGTAGAGTGGAGAGAAGCTTAGAGGAGGATTTGTAGACTGGCTTTAAGAATGGCTTTTTTGTTGTCACATTTTTTCCGCCCGCATTGTTCAATGGGTTGGAATGCCTTACAGGCGGAGGCGGTGTGCAGGGGACCCATAACGAGGGGATTCACCACCTAAACCACACATGCTTCAGTACTATCGGTCCCGCAGTGCAGTTTATGTCGTGAAGTTTATGGGCGGGTTTGTAAGCGGGGCTTGTCGAAGGGTTTATAGAACGGCTTATGGTACAGTTTATAAACGGGATTATCAAAGTGTGTGTTTAGAAAGTTTTGTAGGAGTACGCATGGTTTTGTAGAACGGTTGCCTTGGGTGGATGGATGGCTGGATGGATGGATGGATGCATGGATGGATCGGATGCATGGATCGGATGGATGCATGGATGGATCGGATGGATGGATCGGATGCATGGATCGGATGGATCGGATGCATGGATCGGATGGATGGATGGATGGATGGATGGATGGATGGATGGATGGATGGATGGATGGATGGATGGATGGATGGATGGAGGCAGGCAGGGAGGGAGGGAGGGAGGGAGGGAGGGAGGGGCGCATGATCTTAGCTGTCGCTGTTGACTGCATCGCTGCTCCGAGCGGTTTGGGGACAATCACTCTCCGGCCCTTTAAAAGCCCCGGAACAGCTGCAGCTGCCCGTCGAGGCCCAAGGCCGCCAGTAGCTGCATTGAGGGCGACGGGGCAACAGACCTCGTGCCACATTGGATGCCATGCTTTCGCTTTTAAGCTTCGTCGGTGATAGCAAATGTACATGACAGAGCATATGGTCAGAGTGGTACCATGCAGAAAGAGTAAGCAGATAGCAAGAAAATAAACCGTCACAACCAACACCATGAACAGGACGGCCAACAGAAAGTTTCGTGGGCAGGATGCTAGCGATGACCTAAGAGTTCTCTTGGATATTGTATTTTGTGTTACGCAGGCCTCATGGGTGGGCAGAACTTGCTGCCCAACCTCCAGAACGAAAGCATCGAGGCTGCTGAGTTGAAACACGCTACGTCGCGGATCTCCACTGTGCCGAGGTTGGTGAACGCCCCTCATTTGGCGATTCCGGTTCATCATATATCTTGACCACGCCCCCTCATGTTGCGATTTCGGCTCATCATATATCTTAGGCATGCCGACTAATTTGTCGTTTGTGGTTCATCGAATAACTTAAACATGCCCCCTCATTTGGCGATTGCGGTTCATCATATATCATCATATATCTTAAACACGCCCCCCTCGTTTGGAGATTCCTTTTCATCACGTGTCTTAAAACACACCCCTCATTTTGCGACTCGGTTCATCGAATATCTTGAACGCGACCTTTTTTTGACCCCTCATTGAGCGAGGGGCGGAAACGGTCCACATGGGCTCTGTTTTTGCTGGCAGGAGGGACGGGAGCTTGCGCGGGAAAAAGAAGGGTGAAGGGGGGGCCCCCCATCTGCATATGATGGATTTTGTTTGAAGACTTCTATAGGAGTTGTGTGATTGACAAAATTCTTGCTGATGGCGTGATGTTCTTGAAAGAAGCATGCTCTGCATAACAAGAAAGCGAGGGCGGAGACCCCCCCATTTGCAAACCCAATGTAGGTCTGTATGACGGGTTGTTTTCGCTGGCAGGATACGAACTGTTGCGAGCTTGCATGGCTTAAAACGTTGGGTTTCTCTTTTCTCTTTCTGACTCTGCGTTTCTTTCTTGCATTCTCGCATTCTATATTATTCTGTTGTTTCTATGTGTGTGTGTGTGTGCGTTTCCTTCCTTCTGTGTATTTATCTATTTATATGTCTTTCTTTAGTTATCTCCTTCTCTTTTTCTTTCTCTTTTTGTCGCTCCGCGTGTCTTTCTTACTCCGTATGTCTTTGATTCTCAATCGGTCTCTCTCGCTCTCTTCCTGTCCTTCTTTCTGTCTTTCTATCACTCTGTCTTTTTTATTTTGCTATTTACTTCGCTCGTTCTCTCGTCGTTTCGTTTCTTGCTTGAGTTCTTGGTTGAGTTCTTTCGTGTTTGTTTTTTGTTTTCATTTCGTTATATCTTTCTGTATTCCTCTGTTTCTCTCGCTCGTTCTTACCGGGTTTCTTTCTTCCTGTCTTCCTCTGTTTCTCACGTGCTTTCTTGTTGGCTTTCTTTCTTTTCGTTCTGTCTTTCCTTCTGTCTTTCGTTCGTTCCTTGTTTCTGTCTTTGGTTTGGGAATGCAGCAGCGCTACTCCAGCTTTCTTCCTCTCTCTCTTTTCTTTCAGGGTCTACTTATTCCTTCTTGTCTTGCATTCTTTCTTGCTCTCTCGCGGCCTCTGAACCAAACCAGATTTCGAAAATTGCTGGCACTTATACACTGTATACTCTATATATATATACATACATATATATATATATAGGTATAGGTATATATATATATATGTGTATATATATCTACGCTATGTACCAGTTTAGTACTTACTATATATGAAATATGCACGCCATTTATGCACACAGTATATTATATATTCTATAAATATATATACATACGTGAATGTATGTATGTATGTATGTATGTATGTATGTATGTATGTATGTATGTGTGAATGCATACGAATAAATGGATATAACTACAAATATACGTTAAAACCTAAACATAAATATTGTATAGACTCATAGACATAAATCTGAACGTTTACGGTCGCAATGAACAGAGAGTGTCGACGAGTCGGCGAGGGGGGGGAGCGCTAATCCGTCTGTTCCACTCGTTCCACTCCTTCCACTCGCTCCGACCATTGCGCTCGTTCCACTGTTCCAGTCGTTCCACTCGGCCCACTCGTTACCCGCTCCACTCATTCCTTTCGAGTACAGCCCGAGTGGCGAGCGGCGGGAGTGGCGCGAGTGGCGGCACGAGTGGCGCGAGTGCTGCGAGTGGCACGAGTGACCCGCATCACTTCAATTCCTCGCCCCCCTCCCTTGTGCAGTCGCACTGTTCTGGGGGGGGCGCAAATGAATCAACGATCCAATCGTTCCACTCGCTCCACTCGCCCTGTGCCTTACCTGTTCCACTCGTTCCTATTGCCTAGCTGTGGCGTGAGTGGCGCCACTCGTTCCACTCGCCCTGTACGTTACCTGCTCCGGGCACTTTCGTCTACACCGCGAGTGGCGAGTGGCGTGAGTGGCGCGAGTGGCGCGAGTGGCCCGAATGGCACGAGTGACGCGAGTGGCGCCGACCAACTCAATTCCTCGCCCCCCCTCCCTCGTGCAGTCGCACTGTTCTGGGGGCACCAATGAATCAATGTTCCAATCGTTCCAGCGAAAGTGGCACGCGTGGGCGAGTGGCGCGGACGACTTCAACGTTCCGCCCCGCGCGGTCGCAATGAACGTGTATTTGCTTATTTATGTATGCTACACTGCTACACCTAGCCGAACCTGCGCATGTTTATCTATGTGTGTATAGTATATATATATATATATATATATATACGACACAGAGAGAGAAAGAGATGTGTGTGTGTGTGTGTGCGTGCCATCCGCTACACTCATGCAACCTGCCTTGGCAATGCGTCTCCAACCTGTGCCAGGCACTCACCAGCCAGAGAGTACCTAAGCTTGGTGCACTCGACTATCATGGAACCTGGTTGTTTTTTGTGTGGCCGTGAGCTATCATGTCTTACTACGTGCTACGAATCCTGTAGTGTCCTATGCAATAGTCTAATTGGGTTAAGCCGATTCTGGTGAGCACCTGCGGCCAGGGGGCATCCGACACCATGGCGATGATGCGGCGCGCTCCCAAACGAGAAGCCTCAGCTTCTTCCGGGGCTAGACACTCACGACTCCACATTGCTTCACGGGTAGCATGGAAGAATATCAATGTGTTGACACAATCCGGAACCATACCGTAGTCAGATCATAGAACCAAAGTATGTCCCAGCATGTTGTTGCATGTGTTCAGACAGTCTGAACGGAGGTTCGGCACAAGTGGCTCGTGTTGCCGGAGGGCTTGAGTTGGGGCTTCGCCGTTTCATAGCCTTTTAACTTTCAAGGCTACTGAACACAGCACTGGAAGAAAGCAGGGCAAAGAAAGAGTGCAACATAGGTCTATGGCAGGGCTCTGTGGCACTTGACCCGGATGTATCAACGAAGAGGCCTATGGTTCCAAGTTGAGAGTCGTGTTGTCATCCGGTGCCCACGCAAGATCCGAAGCATCGCCGGCAATGGCCACGTCCTCGGCTCCAGGTTTGCAAAGACGATGCTCTCCGAGGGTCCAATTTAAATAAATCTGATTATCGACAAACATGGCTCTCGGTGGTTCTCCGGGTTTTGGATCCTCTGCCGGACTTCTAAATCAGGAATTGCCTCACCTTACACCCAAAGTCACCCCTTGCGCCGATTCAGTTTGAGTTCGTACTTGTGGTGGCTCGGAGGCAGCGCACACAGCGTCAGGGCCGAACTATTCGTACGTTCTCAAGTCTTCTGGCGCGCCGCCAGCGGGCGCCCAACTTCGCTAGTAGCAACACAAGTAATTCTGTGAGGCCGCAATACTGTCACATGTTGGAACACTAGGATCTCCGGCACAGTGCCCTATCGAATTTTATGTTCGAACTGATGTTCTGCAATTGGCATTGGTTCGAGCTGGTAGTACCAAGGACAAGATTCCTCGCATCAACCCTGAATCTTCTTCAGGAAAATCAACCCTGCTGGGATGCAGGATTCGGCTCACGCTCGGTATAGCCAGAGTGAGTCATGCGAGATTTTGACCCGGGACCCGACTGATATGAAAGAGCCGGGCAACGGTGAGGCGCGAGAAGCTTTCCTCGCTATTGTAGATGCCCAACCGATCCTGCTTTCGCTTCTGATCCCGGCTCCAAGGCTTCGTGATTTTTCATTCTTCCACCATAGTTTCGATTTTCTGGTTGCCATCAAAACCCCGCGACAGTGATGCATCACACAAGGGCGCCCTATCAGGATGCAAACGGTTGTGAAGACAGTGGGATTGCTAGACCCCTGACCCTAAGACCTCACCACCGCGAACTCTTGGTCCTGAACCCCAGCTTCATCTCAAGCAGAATGCCACAATCCCCCATCCCTGGCCCGCCCCCGCCCGCCCCCACACTTGACGAGCCACAGATCTATCGCTGCACTGCGTGACCCGATGAGGATTCGGATGCACGAGAAGGGCCAGAACACAGAAGCGCGCTCAAACACTACGGCGTCGGAAACTCACGACAACATGTGACAATACAAGTTAAACAGGTAAAAGGATGACTGCATCGCTATATATAACATAACGATCCTGCCGCAATGTGATACTACAGACTTCTTCAACGTTATGATACGAGGTCTGCTGCACGAAAAGGCAAACAGCCCGCAAATTAACGCGAGGTCCTTGCAGTCTTTCCGCCGGAGAACAGCCAGCCAGCAAGCATCCCGACTGAATGCAAAGCCGCGGCGTGGAAATTTCGGATATCGAATCTGAACGGCCTCAGTGGGCATGGAAGCGGCTGGGGCTACGGAGAACGCAGGCCTTCGCCAGCCTTTGTTAGTTAGCGAGGCAGAAGGGAAAAGAAATGGAGACATCAGCGAGCGACAAAGACCTTGCAATTTGTGCAACAAGAGTCCTACTGCCTGGGACCTTGAGCCCGCTTCCAATCTCGATAAAGAAACTCCAGCACTCTTGTCCCGGTCCCGCGTCTGGGTTACCCGACAGAGGCTCCCTCCTGCAGCGGCCAGATCGACAAATACAGCCTCGACCACGGCACAAGTCCGTCCGTGATCAAATCGGGATCTAAACTGCTACCAGCACACTCAACGAGTGGACCGAGGGGCTGGAAGTCCACGGCCACGAGCACTCGATCCGTGCCAGGGCCCCAGCGAGCGTGAGCAATGCCTGGGCTTTCTCAATGTCTGCGAAGCCTAGCCCTGTGGCCCAACATATTTGCGAGTGCGATAACAAAATCCTGGTTCCCGATCGAAACCTCCCCGGCTAGCACTTCTCGTGGAAGCCCTCTTAGTCCCCCAAGATCTTCACCCATTTCAACGATGTCATTAAGGCTCTGTCTGGGCACCAAGGCGCCTGCAAGACCTTCGTAGATTCGGCAGGTCCATTCGCTGTCCCTGACATGTTTGCAAGTTGAGTGTCGGGCAGACGTCTACCGTTCTGGCGCACTCGTCCGCGAAGGGCAAAGCTCGCGCTCTGAACCAGCAACTGCGCTGTCGCCGATGCATTTTCGTGCCTGAGGCTCCAGATCTGAAGCAGACCTTGCCGCGCAACCTCCGTCAGCAGAAACTGCGAGTCTGGCGACCACTCGATCCTGCCACGTGGCCCTTTGTTTTGCAAGCGAATTCTTGCAAAGCGGTCAAAAAAACGACGAGCAGCCATACTGTGCTTTGGAGTCTATTTGTTCACTGGCTTCTCCTACAGGATGCAAGGGCGATTCTCAAAGTTCGCACCCTGTTGCTCACAAGTCAGCTGTGATCAGTCCTCTCGACTTTGTCGATGCAGATGTAAACCTCGCATCGGCGGGCACACACCAATTATCCTCAACTCCAACACAATGAGGCTTACTCCAAAGCTCCTTGAAACTCCGCAAGCAGAACGGACAGAGGATCGGCCACGCAGAAGCCATTTTTCGACCTTCTCGCGTTTGCTCGTCAAGGGTGCAGCAAGCGTGGCCAACCACGCGGCTGCACCCAAAGGCTTTCCAAAACTGTCAAGGCCAGCGTTGGCACACTCACGGTCATGGCGGTGAAGGAGGAGCTGAGCCTGAGAGCATGCCAATGATGCCGCTGCCCTCCGCAAGGGCGAAGATGAACTGAAAGGGCTTTGCGTTGTCCATCTTCATCATGATCTTGATATCATCCGGGAGGTTCTTGACCTCCACGGACTCGACGCTTACCAAGTACTTGTTCGTGGCGCTGAGAAGTTCCACGCCCAGTCCAGCCAGCGGGTGCCCGGCAAAGTTCTCGAGGTGATGCTGCTGCGCCAAGAGCTTGTACTGCTCTTGCAAACTTCGGAAGGTCATGTTGAGCAAGGGAACAGAGGCAAAGAGACCCTGGACCATCTCCTCGTCATAGGCCATCCGCACATCCATGGAGCCACCCGCAAAGAGCTGCACCAGCTTCTCGACCATTGCCTGGGTATAGTCGTGGCCCACCTGGTGCTCTGGGCACATGGGCGCACAAGTGAAATTGTAACGGCACTGGGCATCCTTCCAGGTGCCTTCAGAGTCAGAGGAGCCATCCTCGTCATGAAGGCAGTGGGCCAAAGAGCAGCACATGCCCTCATCTTTGCCCAAGCATGGAGCCTCCATGGTTCCGCAGAGGCTGGAAGCTGTTGAAGGCCTCTTCTTGATGCGATCGAGGATGGCCTTCTCGACGGCTTCCGTCAGCGTTGCATCCAGCATCATTCGAGTTCCTGTCTTAGCCTCTGTCCATATCGAGTCATCCGGGTGCGCCAGCATCTGCTCGATGTTGTTGTTCGCCGACACGGTGAAGGTCACATGACCGACGTGGCTCATGATCATCTTGATCTGTGCGTCCACGGCAGCTTTGTTAGGGGTAGGCAGAGGCCGGCTCAAGATGCTGACCTGGCTGCCATAGTTCCGGACCTCTGCGACGGGGCCCATGTTCAAACGCGCAAGCAGGCCGTTGCATAACTCCACGAAGCTAGCGGCTGCCTCTGCGTCGGTGGCTGTGACGTTCAGTTCGATTCGGTAGCCGGCTGAGGGGTCGGAAGACGCTTTCTCTCCATGGAAGAACATGTAGGAGATGTTTTCACTGGTGTCGAAGTGGCCCAAACTAGGGCCCATTGAAATTGTAGCCTTCATCGGGATCAACTTCTGCGGCGCACCGGGCAGTACCTCAGGGAGCTCCTCCTCGATGGACTCCACTGCATGCTCGATCGGTGCTTCAGCCTTGAGAAGTGTTTTCTTTAGCGCAACTCTTATGTTTTGCACTGTCTCCTCTGCCGCTGATGCTTGGTGCATGAGTTTCAGCACGCCGAGATCCTGGAGCAAGCTTCCCAGCACTTTGAATGGATGAACGTCTGCAAATGCCATCTGGACCTTCACACCGGGCAGGTTCTTGATCGACACAGAATCCAGCGTGTCCAAGTCAATGGTGGCCCCCTCCAAAACATCTGCGAGCGGGCCCAACCAGGGCTGCTGGGCTGTATTCATCGACATCTTCACATGCTCCAGGGGAACGGACAGCTTGGTGACGACGTCATTGAAGCTCATGTTCAGGAACGGAACGCTGCGGAGCAGCTCGCGCCGCTTACTGTCGTCGTATGACAAACGAAGGTCTGAGGAGGCGCCCTTGAACATGGAAACGACACTCTGGACCATCTCCTTGGTCGCCTGCTGTTTCATCTGGAACCTTTCCTTGCAGTACTCCCAGCAAGCGGTGCTGTTGAAGAGGCACTGATCTTCCTGGTAGCGCGGGTAGTTCGACTCAGGCGACGTCGGCTCGAGACAGCTGTGAGTGCTGCAGCACGGGCCCTCCCACGATTGGTACCTGCATGGGCTCTCCCCCACACCGCAGGTGCCCTTGTCAACTGAGGGCCCGGAGGGGTCGTACCGGTGCGCGTACTCGGTGAGTCTCGCCGCGATGACCTCCTCGAGGGCCTTCGTCAAGGCGACATCCATCTCAAAGCGGAAGCCCTGAAGCACCTCCTCAAGGATGGGCCTGTCCTTGTCCTCCAGCAGCGTGTCTGCATCCATCAGGGTGGACTCCGTGTAGTTCATGTGCTTCAAATGCCTCGCAAACATTTGCACGGCCCCATCCGCACCGGGGGGCAGAGGTCGGTGGGCGCTGAGGATGGTCAGCTGCTCCTCCCAGCAGTACATCTTGAACAATTCGGGTGGGTTCAGCGGCTTCAGCGCCTGCATCAACTTGTCGACTTTGGAAGTGAAGGCATTGCAGCTGAATCCATCGATGGCAGACAGGTTGGCTTCCAGCCAGTATTCTCCTGTCGAGTCCGATTCTTCAGCACCTTCCGTCGTGATGAGGTAGTTGACGGAGGCCTTTGGCACAATGTCATCGAGAGTGGGGCCGATCTGGTTAACACCGGACACTGTGGCCCACGTCTCGGCTTCTGCCTTCGGGGCTGCGGTGAGGCTGACGTCGACGTCTTCAACGATCTTCTCCACGGTGCTCTCCGCCTCCGTCAGGCCATCGCCACCTTCCGTGCTGAGGTGGGCCTCATTGATGCCACTCCGCCTTCCGGCAGAAGTGAACACCAAGCAAGAACAAGCAATAAGCGCCGCGATCGCATTCATGACGATCCAGGCGGAAAGGATTGCGCAGAAAAGCGGTGAGTTTGAGCTTTTGGATACACGGGTCTGTCTTGAGCCCAGACATACGAAGCGCGCTCCTTCTCACTCCGTACGGACCAGCCTGTGGCCCGAGACCCGTGCAGGCTCGAAACGACCGTGTTCGCGAAGCATCCCTCAAGTCATGCCTCCGACATCTTTACCTGTGCGGGATCACCTGGGTGTCAGATCCTGTCAAGATCTCGGTATTGCATGCCGAGCAGCTTGGACAAGCTTCAAGGAATCGGGCTCACGCACTTGGACGCGGTTCCTGCACATTGCACAAGTTGGGGTAAAGTCGAAACATGAACTGGTCACGGACACACACAGCCCCAATCGTGTTCCGCTTCGGGAGTAGGACGCATTCTTGACAGACTGTGACCCGGAGGTCTTGTTAGGACAGGCTTCCTTTGGGATACCGTGGTGCGCTTAAACGTTTACCCTGCGGCACGAGCTGCAACAAGAGAATCTCTCAAGCAGGGCCACGAAGTGCCGCCAAAGGATCTTGTCTGCCGCAGCCACATACTTGGCATTGGGGGACCACTGTGCCAGAGTCTGTCCCGCAAGCACGTCGGAGAAGTCCATCAGCGGCAGGCAGTCTGGCTAAACACAAACAGGCAGCAGTCCAAGAAAGAAACCTGGTGTAGAAAGTTGCAGCTGTATGAAGCTGAGTGCGAACGGCTCGCTCCGTCGTATCAGCATCACCTCATGTACTCTGGTTTCGGCGTGATCCTCCCCTACAGCCTCGCAGTGTCAAGGCGTCGCTGTTGGAACCTTTGGAGAGAACGCAGTCAATCCCCTCAACCTACACTTGAGGCTCCTGGCCCGGGCAGCTTAAAGTAAAAACCCATGAATTACATTGCCCGACTGAGACAAGCGGCGGCTGAGGCGACTTTACGCTCAAAACAACAACGGCACTGTGGTGTAAACACGAGTCGCACCCCAAAGCGTGGGTGGGACTGCGGCGGCAAGAGCACGATATTGGAGCGGCAGCACGATTTCGGGCGTCTGGCACACGGGACTGATGTGCACCCAAAGACGCACGGTACTGGGGCCGTGTGGGCCTCATAGTGTATGACTTTAGCGACTTCGACGAGTTTCCATCAAAATGCGCACGACACTGCGGTGGGAGCGAAATTCGTCAAGCTGGGAAGCGTCGAAGTCTTGGATTGTGCGATGAATTCGGCGTGCCGGCGACCAGGCCCGAGAAAGAACGCACAATGTGCACCGCGCCGCAGCGAGAGGGTGCACCTCCGGGGGCGCTACTCGCGCGAGCAGCAACCACAAAAACTTTAGCCTAAACGTGAGAACTCCGCACATTACGCTCTCACAACTCGGACAAGCAAGCCTGTTGATTGGTTCCAAAACGGGTTGTTGTGCCATCATCATGTCGTCATGGCCAGTCAAACTGTCATGGTGTGCTTCCGAATGTCCCATGGGCATGTCAAGCCTGTCTCAACCTAAAAAACTGAGCCGTAGTGGCTGCAAGAATAATCATGAAGCATAGGTCCCTGCATGTTCGATAGGTGTCAAATGCTGAACTTGAGCGGGTGGTTCATGGTGGCTCCCTCTGGAAAGGTGCTTGTTCGACGGATGCACACGCTTAAATTCCAAAACTGATACAGGTAAGATTAAGAACACAAGTTCAGCACCGAACGCAGGTGTCTAGTCTGCGGCTCTACACTTTGAGAAACATCTTCGCCAAGGGCCTCGTGCGCATCTTCAAGATACTTGCAGTCCAACAAACTATAAAACAAAGAAGCCTCCGTCTAGCCAAAGCCTCCACTTGCCACGACATGGCAATCAAGCCCTCGCTCTCTGCCACCTAGGACCGTGCCCTGAACTCGGCTGCGCTTTCTTTCTACTCGCAAATGCGCACGGGAAGGCGCAGGAAAATCCCGCAGGGTTGGGTGCGTCGACTGCGCACATCCAACCAATGCAGGAGCAGAGCGCAGAACCCAGATATCCCAGCTCCGGCCAAATGTTCGTGCAAGAGGACAGGCTCTGTAATGTCGGCTACTGGACCACACGATGTTGCCGTTGCACGCGCCGACTCCGCAGTCGATACGGCTCTAATCTCGGTTCTGCGTTCCGCCATGAGTCGAATGTGGCAGCCACAGACTTGATGCCGTGGCAGGGGCTTGCCGTCCGAGATCCGACATGACTTTGGGAAGAAAGACTCGGTGTTGCGGCAAGGGATCACATCTCGGATGGCCGCCCAACTAGGTACAGCTGAGGACAGGTGCCAAACTGCTGTCCCACAAGGGGCAACGTGTCAAACTTTGCATGCCCCATCTGTGAAAGGCATGCTGTAGTCAACAGACATGCCGAAATTGGGCAGGTTCCTTCCTTTCCAGACATTGGGAAGAGCCCATAGGGGCTGTGACGTCTGCTCCAGCCGGCCTCCGGCCATCCAAGCTGTGTGCAAGGAGCTCTTGTATTCCGGCCTTCACTCCCTACATACGCCTGGAGACTGCCGTCCTGTTCACAATGTGTGCCCGTGCTACAGGTGCTTGTGGTGCAATTGGACATCGTGCTAAGTGCTGTTCTGCTACCATGCTAGGGCGAAAACTTGGATGGCATCCACCGTGCTCCAAACAGAGCAACGGCGCGCTGCAGTAAGCCAGGCCAGGGGCCGCCAGGGTGACCATGAGCCCAATACGTAGCCAAATGGTCTTGGTCACTTGGTCTATACAGCGGAAGTTCGGAGCTGGGGGCCGTGAAAGCATGTCCAAAGTTGCGTGTCAGACCGCACGGATCCCACGGTTCACGAAGTATCTCGCTCTAATGTTTGAAGCCTGGTTGCAGAGTTCCCCCGGTTGTTGGCTAGATTGCTACAGTACTCCTTCTTCTAAGGCGAAGGGCTAGATGCGTGCAGTGCTTGTCTCACACAGAAACACAAACAAACGCTCGCACGCAGAGGCAGACACGCACACACACACACACTCACGCACATGTATCTGTACATATACATATATATATATATATATAGGTATACATATATGAAAAAGACATAGACATATACATATACATATGCATGTACACATGCACATGCACATATTATATATATATGTGTGCATGATTATATACACATACATATGTATATACACACATTGAGTCGATGCTGCACCAAGGAGCCGTCGACTCCAGACCCACAGCTCTATCCTGCGCATGCGTGTTCGCGAGTTTTGCAGATTCTACTTCGGGTGTATGTGTGTGGCTGTGTTGGCTTGGCACAACTGACCTGAAGTTTGTTGCAAGATGCAGTTCAGCGCAGAAGAAAACTTAGGCGACGATGGCGACATCCCAACAAGCTCCCCACAAAGGTGTGTGCTTAGGATTCTTTGGATCGGAATGCACTCAGCTACGTAGGCTCCAATGGCTCGACAACATGGTGGATTGGCTGCCTGCGCTTCTCGCAGGCAGTTAGCTGGTCTGCGAAGGCCAGCGGACGGCCATTTTTAAAATTGGGAAACCATGTAGAGCCAAGGTTGGCAACGGGCTTGACATCTCATTTTTTGCAGAACATTTAACGATGCAGTAGCAGGTCGCTCCTGTCAGAACACATTGTCAAGCCCCCGTGTGTTGTGACGCTTCCCCTTCGGGGTGCGAACATAAAACTCACAGATGTCACAGAACCCACTTCACGTGACTGTGTTTCACTGTTCATATACTATTCGCACTAGTACCACCGCTCGTGAAATAGCTGCTTTCGTATTTCGTGCCGCAAGTATGGCTGTGCTAGCTGTTCATTTCCGAGCCACATCCGTCCAAACTGACCAATGGAGAAAACCGTGCTAGTGCTAACAATAGACAAGACATGTGCTACGGTGACAGAGGTTTGCAGTTGAGCTGGCAGTGGTGCCAACGGTTGCGCGGAGTTGGTGGTGCTGTTGTTGGAAACAGATACTTCCATGCTCAGCAGAATTCCATGCTCAGCGTTGCTCACATCCGACCAGTACATCATGATAACGCAGTATTGAGGTCAAGAAGCTAAGCCCGAAACAAATCGACCCTAAACCCTAATTGAAGGATCATGGAACTTGATAAGTGAGGTTATAAATAAGTCAACTACGCTTATACATAGTTATAACCCCAATTAAGGTACTTACAAACATGACCCTCCAAGTACACCCTAACAAGCCGAAGCCTGAGAAGCCACCCCGACCGGGGAAAACGAAGGCTCCCAATGATTCGACTTGAAGTTCAGCTGCTTGGATTCAAAGACGCCCTAAACACGGTTTAGGGTTTAAGGTTCAGGGTTTAGGGTTTAGGGCCTAAACCCTGCACCGTGCATGAGGACGTCTTGACAATGGCCCAAATCCAAACCGAATCGCGACCGCGCTCTGAACCCTACAAGTCAAAGCTCAGATAAATTGGGGTTTAGGGGGTTTAGGTTTAGGGTTTAGTTCCTTTTTGGGATTACCTTATAGGATTCTAAATATGGGTCCATCCTGGAGTGGCTTGACATCCTGCTTTAGTTCACATGCACTTCGCCCTGCGGCTCTGGTTGACGCCAAGATCTGGATGATCCCTACATGTCAGCTCCCCAAACGAACTAGAGCCGCGAAGGTCCAGGTAAGCCTTCCGGCCATGTTTATGGGCGAAAGCCTCCTGCAGGGAAGAGCGTGCAAAGTTCGAGTCCTCCGGACATGAGGAGCTCTGGGTCCTGACGTGGCTCTCGGAGTTCTGATGTACTTGCTCTCCAAAGACCAGAAGGGGCTAAAGATAACGGCTAGAATGCTTAGGAGAGGAAAGGGGGAGTGCAGGTTACTCTTTGCGATGCGGCTGGGAGCTTCAGAAAATTCTTGAAAGGCAGTTCTACTTGAAGTCTATCTGCTGAATCTACTGTACATCACCTCCACAACTCGTGCCGAAGAAAACGTTGTGGGATTATTTTGCGGTCACGTGCTGACCCATTATGGTGCCACACTGTTGTCGTGAAGGGCTTGACAGTTACCAATAGTGCGATCCCTGAGCCCCTTCTCGACTCTGAATCATTGAATGCCTCTCCCGGATTTCTTCAAGCGCCTCGGCAAAGCTCAAGCCCTCCCACAACCCGGGCTTTCAGAGACCGAGCTGCTCAGGCCACAAAGCTTCCAAGATGTCTCCGGAAGGACTCAAAGGAGACGCGTTGCCGCCCTTCTCCGCCTTGGCTGCTTCTGCAAGGGGTCCCTCTACACCCGCAAAAGCTAAGCCGATGAAGCCCCAAACCCCATCGCCCCCGATTCCCGCAAGCGTGTTGAGGTTCGAGAGTCGCGCTCCGTGGCTCATTGGAACGGTTCGTGCCGGGTGGACAAGTGCTTCTCGGGCCCTGGGCGCTGGAGTCGCCAGCAAGGGGGCGAGTTTTGGTGCGCAGACGTTGGTACCCCAAGATTTCCGCGAGAGGACTAGCCAGACAGGAAACTACTCATGCCGGCTCTTGCTTTGAATTCTGGCATAACAGCTCAGGCTCGCGCTAATTGCGTCGAAAGCCTTCTGTGCAGACCGCGCGGCCTGAGGGTAGTGCTTGAATTTTGAAGCGACTGTTAAGCCCTTTTCCCAGAAGCAAGTGGCCATCGGCTGAGCCAGCTTATCAGGAGCAAGACTGCGTGGGAGAAGTGGCGCAACAGCTAGACCAGGAGTGCCAGGATAACAAACTAGCCTTCACATCCAAGTCTTCCAGCAGTGGTGTTCGTACATCCACTGCAGGTTGAAACGACTCGGCCATTGTATCCAACATGGATGTTACAGCCGACCTTCTCGCGCCGATTGGCATCGACCTTGTCCTGCCCGTCATTCGAAGTTCACGAAGTTTGCTTTTGTTTCACTGACTGGGGGCTTCAGGTTTCGGGTGTAGGCTACAGCGCGTGTTTACAAGTCCATGCGTTGGAAGAAGACATTTGGAAGATGTTGCAGCCGAGGCAGCTTGCCGAAGAAGTCTTGTTGAACTGCAGACATGTGGGCACATGATTGTGGCTTGAAGGGTAGGGGTGACTGAGAAGCTTAAGCCTTTGCATCGAGCTGATATGAATGCCTCTGTCACGGTGAGTCTGTGCCTGAAACCATGACCATCCACTACCACCCCCGCTTAAAGCTGGCAGATGTACAAACGGGGAGGTATGAGCAGCGGCAGAACCTGCAGCTGAACCCAACATCCCAAGGCCCTTACAGCGCTGAGTCTCCCCAGAAAACCCTCCAGAGTTCCCAGAGAGCCGAATACCCCTTAAATAAGGAATATACCTTAAAGGCCTTAAAGTATAGGGACCTTAACAATATGATTTAAGGTATATGCCTAAGGGGTATTGGGCTCTCTGGGTTCCACGTGGCTCTTGGAGGATCCTCTGGCGTGGAGGACGCCTTGGATCCTCGCTCCAAGAGCCGCTGGAGCTCACCTGGGAGTGGAGAAAAAGGCCACGTGCTTTCTGGGTTAGGCGGGAGTTTAGGGTATTTAGGGCTTCTATAAGGCTTCCATAAGGTATATAGACCTTCTATAAGTTAGGCGTGCATGGTGAACTTAGCAGAAGTGCAACAGAGAAACCCTGGCTGATGGTCGTATCTGCCATTGTTTCTTCTACCGACCAATAGCCTGCAAAACCATCCAAGGAGCAACACGACCCCTGAATGGCCCCATCTGCAGCGAAACTCCGAACATTCGTCGAAACATTTTCGGGTAAACCAGTTCAGAATGTGGACCAGCGGAGACCAACAAAGCCAAATCCCCAAATCAAGGATGTCATCTCCAGTGCGGATTCCGATCGCATCTTGCCGCCTGCTTCGCCTCCAAGTCGAGTCGAAGTTCCGCGCGATTCTACGTTAGACATGGCCCCCTGTTATGTTGCTACCTTTCGTCTCTATTGTACTATGCCTCTAACAAGGCTCTCCTCATTGTGATTGTTACATAACGAGGTACAAAATGGCATTTCGTTGAACTACTTCATGATTTGAACAACGTGTGTTTTTTGTGTGCGGGGGCGCGGGAGCACGTACGTAAAAAGGCGTTGCATACGTGCGCTTGTGTGCGTACACGCATGGCCAGCTCTGTGCTGCAGGCAGGCGACACCGACTCACATAGCCATCGCCGTTGGCCTGCGAGACGTGGCATAGGCTACTCAAGGCGGGTGAATAGATATGTCTGTGACACAAGCTGGCCCAAAGCCGGAGCTCTCTCACTGGCTGCTACCGTCATCCACCAGGCCATGTACATAAATCTGATCCAGGGCAAGAGGCGTCTAAGCGATTGAAGCTGCTGCGCAGGTGCTCGTCGTCTATGAGCTCCTGTCTCTCATTATGATTGTTTTAGAGCTCTGGGATTTGTGCAGCCCTTGGGCAGGCATAGGCATGGGGTCCTAGTACGAATACTACATGCTGGGACAAAATGCACAGCACAGACCAGGTTTCCTGCTTGAGGGGGGCTCTTCGACGAGGGCTGAGATGAGATGAGCGCGTCGGTTAGGCTGAGTCTCTAAGCCAGCACCACGCCATGAACAGCAGAAAGGCCCTGAGTTTGTAGTGCAGAAGTACAGCGGCAACGTCCGAAGCTCAGCACATTAACAACCGCTTGCTACGACTTAACCAGGAGCTCAGCCTCGTCAAGGAAAACTTAAATCAGCCTGTTGCTAGTCATCAGCCTCAAGGGCCAGCCGGTATGCCAATTGCCCCTCCATTCTACGCTGCCCTTCCTGGCAGGACGGCGCGAGCGCAGCCACGAAACGCGAGAACTCGACACGACCGCCTGAAGGAAGGGCCGGTTCGGGAAGGCTTGGGAGGGGCTTTGGGAGCTGCAAGACTTCCAAGGTAAGAATTTTCGGTCAGTTTCCCTGCAAACTCAGTGAAAGGACGCTTTGGGATTGTAGAGGTCATGACACTAGCTGGCACAGGCAGATTCACACACGTGCAATATCGTGCAACACTGCCTCATTGCAGAAGCCACAACAGCGACTTGGCTGCTTAGCTTAGGGAATGAAGACAGAACGACTCCGTTCCTTGTGCAAGCCGTGTAAGCTCTATACCTGCGGCGCAATACTAAGTCGCAACTTCAAACTTACATGAAAACTGCAAGCCAAAAATCTAGAAGCATGTCAACTCTGCCAGCACACTCTTCGTCTGAATCAATTATTAGACCCCAACAAGCTCAGGCATCAATCACCAAAACCGCACGCACTGGATCCTTCTCTGGCCGCCCAAAGCTCACGTCTGACCAGCTGATAACACGCAATTAAAGGGGACAAGGCTGCTCGATAGCTCATGCAATAGAACCAGAACCAGCATAAACAAGACTATCTCAGTTAGGACCAAAATCCATGGAGCGACTTCCGGAAGACGTGAGTGGAAGCAGCCCGCCTGCACCCTTGGCCAAGCGCTCGGCCGTGTCTGCTGCTGCTGTGGGTGCCAATCCTGAACAGTTTTTGACCTACAGAGTGCCCAGCATGAATCCCGGATCCACCAGCCCGGCAACCAGGGGTTCCAAAACACAGGGGCCATTGGAGAAGGGAGACTTGGCCGGGATTCTCCCGCTTACACTCTCCAATCATGAAGAGCCTTCACACGAGTTACAAAGCCTAAATCTGATTGACAAGCTTGGATTGGGGCAAAAGCCGGCTGAGGGGTGCGGAACCTGCTTGCCGATTCACAACATCTCACAACCCTGTCAAGAACTCACAAGCCTTACGAGTAGGAGGAGGAGGAGGGCGAGGAGGGGCTTTGAATGTGTACAGCGTATAGGGGCCTCGGGTTCCAGCATGCCCAAAATTTTCAGCCTGAGAACTCCAGGCCCGAAACCCCAGATTATACACCATACACCATGATAATCCCTGAACCCTCATATCTGAAGGATTCGAATTCCGTGCAGTTCGGCGGATGAAAGCACGCGGCCTCCCAGCCGCAGGCCCTCGGCCAACTCCGCCTGTTTGCAGATGCGAGCTTTCGGAGGCTTGCAATATAGCATGAAATAGATGGATAGATAGATGGATAGATAGATAGATAGATGGATAGATAGGGATAGACGGATAGATGGATAGATGGATGGATGGATGGATAGATAGACAGATCGATAAATAGGAAGGTAAGTAAATAGGTAGGTAGGTAGGTAGGTAGGTAGGTAGGTAGGTAAGTAGGTAGGTAGGTAGGTAGGTAGGTAGGTAGGCAGGCAGGCAGGTAGGTAGGTAGGTAGGCAGGCAACACAAGTCTGTGTTGCTTG